GTGAAGTCTCACAAATGGGCAATTGATCTCAATCATTTGGCTTGGTGAGAAAAAAGGTTCAATGTAAAACAAAGGAGGTTCAATGCATTCTTTTTATGGTGGCTTACTCTCAAGAATAGTAGCTAGATCATTATGCAAAATTTATCTAAGAAAAGGAGCAATTTATGCATACAATGACTTGTTCTCATCATTCTACCCCTTTCTTAAGCAATTCTAAGCTCAAACATTCTTCTTTCAAAACCCCAAAGACCCATAAGGTTACACATCTTAAACTCTCACCCCAATGAACACTCTTAACCTTTTGTTTTTAACCAACTAGGGATTCTTTTTCAAACTTTCAAACTTAGCTCTCAATTCCCATCTTATTTCATCTTTTCTTGTCTATCCCAAATCTTTCTTTTCATTTTTGTTTTATTGATTCTAAAGGGATTTTTCTAAAGGATTTTAGAGCTTTCAAACTTCATTCTTTTTTTTTTTATATCCCTAGTGGTTTTCCTTTTCTTTTTCTCACTCTTTTCACTCTTTTCTTTTCACCTCTCACTCTCAAGATCAAAATCCCACTTTTAAACCCAAATACCATCCTAAGTGCTAGCCAAAATGAGGTCCTAATGCTAGCATAAGATAAGAACAACTCATTGTCGCTCCTAATACTCTCAAGATTTTGCACATGACTAGCTTTCACAAAAAGGCCTCACTCAAGCAAATAAATGTTGGCTTCAAGGAATAAACTTTCACCAAAGTATCAAGTGTTTAGGAGAGAAAACAAGATAAGATCTCTAAAAACGTGCTTAAGGGTATTTATATGGTACTTAAAAATGCTAATGGGCTTAACTCATAGGTTAATTAGGCCCAAAATAAAACATAAACTCGAGTGTGAACAGTACAGGAGCGACCCCCAGAACCCGGGTGAGACCTCGCTCTGGAGTACGGTTGATCCGGAGCGACCCCTCCTGGTCGCAGTGAGACCTCGCTCCAACACTTCCTTGATGCTCCACGGATGTCCTGTCCAGAGCGGGGTGCATAAGTCGGGTGAGACCCCGCTCTGGAGCTCGTTCGTCTTGGAGCGACCTCTCATCGTCGCTGCATGACCCCGCGGCGACACTTGATGTGCAACTCATCTCCGGGTAGCTTCTGTCCAGAGCGGGGTCTAAAGGTCGGGTGAGACCCCGCGCTGAAGCTCGCTCAAGACACTGCGACCCCTTAACGTCGCTCTCTGACCTCGCTGTGACACTTGAAACTCGCAAGTTGATCATTTCAGCCTTTCTTGAACCAAAACTACTCCAAACTCCCTTAAAAGCTTCTTGAGGTACTCCATCACCTAGTGTAAACAAATGCAAATGGATATGCAACCTAAAAATGCCTTTATGCAATCCTAAACTCTAATATGCATA